TCAGTATGTAATAAACTGCATTACCGTCTCCTTTCTTTGGTCCTCGCATCCCCCAGCTCAGCTGCCTTCTCTGAGGGCTGCCGGCTGAGAGACATCAACTCCTTCTCGTTGAAACGCATCACTTATGATCACTGACGCAGTAAAACTTGTGAAGGAAGCACATACAGGAACACTTTCTCTACATCAGAGTCCGTGCTTCACGACTGAAACACGCTAATGGTCATGCTACGATAACAATGGCCAGAAGCGCTTACTTCTTACGTCTATGTTGTCCTTTAAACGCCGCTGTGTCGCCTTCTAATGTTCTCCAAATGTGACGGAGTGTGTTTGGACATTTCTACTGTAATTTCTTGCTCAAGGAAATTCTGCTGTAAAGTGTTTCGTCTTCGTGCCAGTCATCGGACCCTCCTCCCGGCAGCGGTGACACTCAACGCTGGCAATTGTACGGAAGTCGCCGAGGGTCAGATTTAGCGAAGTTTGAATGCCATTCAATGATACAGTGGCGGAGGACATGCAGTAAGCGAAAGCTATTGTAGTTATTAAAACGGAAGGTAAATTCACATAATACAAAAAAACTGACATGAACTCTACAGGCTTTGAAAGAAGCATTTTTTTCTGGCTCAATTAATCGTTTTTGTCCGTGAGATAACAGTCGATACTTATTATTTACAGTCTATGGAGATAACACCCATTTTGCTCTTTATATGCCTCTCAGTGCAGCCCCATAGTTTTTGAAAACATGTTGGTGGGTTTTGAAAAAAACATTATAATCGTTTAGTCAGAAAATAAAGCGAAGTATAAAACAGGAATCAATCGCTCCAGTCCAGCTGGTGGCGGTAATGCACCGGGAAACAATAACAACCCGAAGTGAGGAAGTATCCTGCGCCTGCGCACTACACATTCACGTTTGCGTGATCCTAACGTTGTGGAGTTGGTGAGTGTTTGAGAGACAAAGAAACCAGTTTATCATATTAAGTCATGTATGATAGTCGGGGGGTTTTCTCCGTTACGAACATATCTACGATCACGTATAGGCCTTGCTAAGTTTGACTTTCCTTTTAGTCGTAAAATTCTGTTTAAATCTTTACTAACCCGGAACACAGTTAGCCTAGCATTAGCATTGGCGGTATGTGTTCAGTATCTAGCTTTATATTTCACTAACAAAATGCAGCAAGTTGGGTTTGTGTTTTTTTTATAATCCCTCTGAGGAATGCATTTCTATTGGACTGATAAAACTTATAATTTCACACGAGTCATTAATTTTGCCAAGAAATATTTGTTGGAAATACCGTGTTGTTGCTTTTTCTTCAGGTGCTGAAACAGTTTCTTATATGAGCTCACACACAAGAAATAAAGTTGTAATCGAATTAAAGTATGTTTTGAGAACCAAAGTGACTGTCAATAAGGCAACTACAGAGTTACCTTTTGTACTTTTTAATCTGATGTTATGGTGGTGTATCTAAAGGTTACTTTGTCACCATTAAGTTGCTTGTAATATGTTTATACCTGCAATGTGTATTCATTATTTAGACTCTTCTCAGTGGTGTATTCTCTATTTTTCTCTGATAATCAGGAAGGATCTACTTAATATACCTATCCAGGGTTAAGTGGGAAATTACACTTGGAGTACTCTTGGAGTGACTGAGCCCATCAATTGCAAAAATGGATTTCCAGCATCGTGCTGGAGGGAAGACGGGGAGCGGTGGGGTGGCATCTTCATCTGAGAGTAACCGTGACAGGCGAGAGCGGTTACGTCAGCTGGCTCTGGAGACCATTGACATCAACAAAGACCCCTACTTTATGAAGAATCATTTAGGATCATATGAGTGCAAACTTTGCTTGACTCTTCACAACAACGAGGTGAGGGTGCCCACAATGAAATGAACAAGATTATTTTAGTTTAGCTTTATCTTTTTTTCTTGTTATACGAGTATTTTGCAACTAAGAAAAAAACTTGTTTCTGATAACTGATAACTGAAAACTGATATCCTCTTTATTACAGGGCAGCTACTTGGCTCACACACAGGGAAAGAAACATCAGACCAACTTGTAAGTCCACATCTTGTCTATCTTACCTAACCTGGTACATATTGAAACCTCACTGTTGCATTGTCTGTAACGTCTGGTTAACATGAAGCTGTGTGCTTCATGTTCAAAGTTACTGCTCCATCAAAACATGCATGAGCTGTTATTCAGCTATGCATGTATCAGCTTTGGAAGGTTTATCTACCAGTAATCATTATGTGTCTGCTGATTCATTTTTGCCCCACATTCCCAGTCTTAGGGAAATTGTTGAACACTTGTTTGTTTGTGTCATATATCTTTGAACTGTGGTGGATCATCAGCTATAAAATGGTTTTCAAAAACTTTTTCTATCAGAGCACGGAGAGCAGCCAAGGAGGCAAAGGAGGCTCCTGCTCAGCCAGCTCCAGCAAAAGTAAAAGTTGAGGTCAAGAAGTTTGTCAAAATTGGTCGTCCAGGATACAAAGGTGGGCTGGCTCAGAGATTATGCATTGGTGTAATCATCATTTTGTTTGGCTATTTCTGCTGTCAAAGCATATTTGCTGTGTTTAAACATATATTCCAAATTATTCTTTGTAGTAACCAAACAGAGGGACCCAGAGACCGGACAGCAGTCCCTACTTTTCCAGGTTTGTGAAATCAATCGAATGTATAGGCTTGATATCCAGCTGTCTGATACAGCTACACATGCTTGAAGGGGACATATTATGAAAAATCCACTTTTACAGTGTTTTTGGTCAATCCAGTCCTTTTGTTTGTAATCTGCCTAAGTCTTACAACGCAGAGAAAAATGCTCCATTTCAAATTTCCTCTGTTTGTGATGTCACAAGCTGGATTCTGGTTAAAAAAAAAGACCCTCCCCTCCCCTGATATCTCCACCCATGGACTCCATCCCCAGCCTAGAACTAAACTTTTTTGCAGGTCTGCCAGTTTTAGTCTTGCTACAGAGGAGTGATGTCTACTGGCAGGGGGGGGGCTCATTGCATTTAAAGAGACACACACACCAAAATGGAGCGTTCTGAGAGAGCTGGTTTAAACAGGGTCACAAACCTCCTCTGGTGCTTGATTCATGTTATATTTTGACCAAAGCACAGCACAGATGTTGCATTTAGACCACAGGGTGACTGTTTCAAAAGGTGGAAAAGGGCCGTAATATGTCCCCTTTAAGCCAGTATCTGTTAATTGGAAATGTACCTTGCTAGCTTTTGATTTACAGCAGATCTGTATGTATTATTCTGAAACTGAAGAGTAAAACCACTTTTACATTAGTTTTATACTTGAGGTTTTTTTCCCTGTTTCTGTGAAAATGTTGGTCCTTTTAGCCAAATAAAGAATGCAGCTAAATACTTTACTGCAACTTAGAAATTTGCTTATCGCAATATTTGTGAGTAAACATTACGTTTAGCCATAGAGGTCAGACTATAAAAGATAGTAAGTCTATTAAAATAAATTCTCTTTGTTCATCAGATTGATTACCCAGAGATCGCTGAAGGAATTGGACCGAGGCATCGTTTCATGTCTGCTTATGAACAGCGCATCGAGCCTCCTGATCGTCGCTGGCAGTACCTGCTCCTGGCTGCTGAGCCATATGAGACTATTGCATTTAAGGTTTGTTAGAGTTGTATTTCTCTTGTGCTCTTTGTCAATTTTTGTTCTTGCTTTGAGTTAACATAAACATTTTTTATCTTTTAGGTCCCCAGTAGAGAAATTGATAAAGCAGAAAACCGCTTCTGGACCCACTGGAACAGAGAAACCAAACAGGTACTGATGAGCTGATTAATGTTTGTTGATACATAGCCTTTCTTGGTATTAACTTTGAGACCTTTGTACATTTTTTTTTTTTCTCTCCCAGTTTTTCCTGCAATTCCACTTCAAAATGGAGAAAGCTATCACTCAGTCCAGCGGCCCAGCCCCTCCTGCAAGCGTGAAGCGTCCTCCTCCTCTCATGAGTGGAGGTGGACCTCGCCCACCCAGTGACAATCTGCCCCCTCCCCCACCAGGAGGGATGTCCATCCCCCCTCTCCCACCTGGTGCACCAGGTGCCCCTCATATGCCCCCTCGGATGCCCATGCCCCCCATGCCAATGCGACCACCTCCTCCCGATGGCCTCACAATATCTAATAACTGATCCCTGACCAGTCTATCATGTTTTATTTTCTGATGTGTAGTCAGACTAACCTGCTTGTCTACAATAACAATCTCCTTGCAGACATTGTAGGTACATGACGTTTGATTATTCCCAAAAAGGTTTGAGCCCACATTTTATTATACATTTGTTTGGTTCATGGAAATTTGTAGGTCATCCCGTGTGATCACACTGTTTTGTACAATAGCTTGAATCTGCATATTAAGCTATGACTGAAAATAGCTTATCTTTTAAGATTCCGTTTTTGTAATAAAATTCTGTAGAGAGAAACATTTGAGTCTCAAAATTTGTATTTTTCAAGGACATCACATAAACAATTTTTGATATGTCATTATTTTCATGTGATGGGTTCACAGCAGAAGAGAAAAGAAACAGAATCTCCTAAAATAACGTTTACCATAGAAATAAAAGTTTGATGTGCCAGAAATAAAAGCCAGAGTCTCTGAAGATGATATAAGATCTAAGATATAAGAAAAAAGGACCTAAGTGGATCAATTACCTAATAAATGCAGAATCTAGATCTGTAGTTTACCATGTTCACCTCTGATCCCTTGCAGAGGTTTGAAAAAGCAGTCTGTACAAGAAAATGTAAATCTCAAAACTGGAAACTCAAATAAAAAAAAAAAAAAACTATTTCTGCAGGGGAAAAAAATAAACTAGCACATTAAACTGGTATAACATTTTATTGTTAACTTGATTCTGTTTTTTAGAAAAGGAAAATCTGTTAACGATTTAATCTTTATCACCTTTAACACATGTTTTTGAACCAATTCATCTAAAAATTATTGAGAAAATGCATTTCTGTCAGTGAAAGAGAAACAAAGAAAGCATCTTATCCCTTCAGAGTTTTCTTCTTCTTTTCCACCATTTTTTTTGTTTTCTTGGGCACTGCCTCCTCATCTCTGTCCTCGGCATCTTCATCACCTGCTTCCTCATCGAGTTCCTCTGATTTATCTCTTTCTTTCTTCTCTTTGTATTCATCATCCTTGGCCTTTTTGGCTCTTTTGTCCTTTACTTTTCCCTCTCTTTGCTTCATGAGCTTTTTGTCTGGTAGTGGCTTGTTTCTTAGACCTTTGGATGCTCGTGCTGATGCTCCTCTCTTTGACTTTCCTCTTTTAACTCCTCCATCTTCATCGTCATCCTCTTCCTCTTCCTCCTCCTCATCTTCATCATCAAGGTCTGGCAACCACCACAACATGACTTCCCATAGTGTTGTTTCAGGCTAAAGGGGGTAGATCAAATGACATTTACACAGTCAAATCAAGTCAAAAATGAAGTAGTGTAAGTCAACCCTTTTACCTCTGCAGGTTGTCCTCTGTGCCGTAATGCACCCGGCCGTCTCACTGTCAATTCGACTTCCTCGTCCTCCTCTGATGGCCCCTGACCTCGCATGGTTTCTGTTTGGTCAAAAGACACCACTGAGTCACAGCAGACATAATTTTTATCTATTGTCCAATTTTTTTTGTTTACTTACCATGAAGCCTCTGAAAGCCTGAGGTAAGCACCAGGATAGTTATGGCCACAAAAAGACAGCGGTTGAGGGTGACATTTTCCCATGGTCTTTCAATCTGGGCCAGGTTTTGGCTGGACAAGGCTTTAGGCAAGGTTGCTGAAGAACAACACAAGAACAAGGAGGGACATTTTTAATTTTAATAAAGCATTGTAAACAATTATTAAAGGCTGACATTGGTTGGACTGGAATTACTCACTTGTTCTTGGAAAGCTCGGTTCTCTGGGTAAAGTCTTGGGTTCTGCTCTCGGTTGCTGTGGAGCCATTTCCTATCAGAGTTTAACATGGGATTAGAAGAAATAGACGAGTAGGCCTATATCAGGGTTTCAAACACAATGAAAATGTGATTATGTTTTTTGTTTTTCTACTAACCTCTCTGACTTTTCTTGTAGCATACATTTCTGAAACAAACAGATTAACAAATGGGGATATAATAAACTTTAGGAAAACAAACCACCATACCCTCAATCTGGAGGTATTTATCCACATTGGATTAATGTATGGTATATTTAGACATCATTTCTGGCTTACTTATTCCTCATTATATTACCCTCAAATTTACAAAAAACAAGCATTGGCATTGAGCTCGATATTAAGGATTCAAATTAACTTGCTTTTTTTACATAATTTTATGTATGCTCAGAAAAGCACATAGCCTATATTTTTACGTCCCATTAAGTAAGGGTATAAACAAAAAATAATCTAGCTCATAATTTAAGTAAATTAACTAATGTAGACATAAATACTTTTATGATATACATCTTATATGTTAAACAAACAATGCTAACACATTTTCCTTACTGTCCCAGTTTAGCATGGGAGGATGCTAACAGTTTTTGAATTAGCATTTAACACAGCAGCATTAGCCTCTCAAGCTGAGGCTAATAGGAATTTCATCAGTGCTCAGGTATGTTGTGACCATACACTGTAAATAGTAAGGTTGTGACTTGTGACATAGAAATATGCCACATTCCCATGGCAGCCGCTGTCCACTGAGTTAGCTTATGGTGAAAACTTTAAACGTTGCCTAATGTCCCTCTGCTGGGCTCCAGGTTTGCAAATAGTATTAATGTAGGTAATCTGACAAAACTTTATTACCATCCAATGCTTTCAAATTAAACAGCAACTAGAAACATAACTGAAAGTGAAAACCAAGCTAGAAGTAAAACAATAACTTTAATAATAAGTCATTCGCTAATTTTAGATGCAAGCTAATGGACCATTTCTCAGTTAAAATAACAGTTTTATGGTGAAAAATGTGCATCATCTATTACCTCTGAATATTGCAGCACTTCCGTTTCTCACTATGCTCTGCCTTTTTACTGATCGATCAGTAGGTGGTGATTGATGATGATTAAGTATAAGATGTTAGCCGTGTGAATAGAAGAATGTAAGTGTTGGTGGAATTCAAACATTGACCTGAATCTGGCACTAGATTCAAAAGAAGTGATTACCAAAGTCAGCATACTTATCCTTGGGACCATTCAGTGCTGTACAAATATGATATCTGGATGTCTACTCCTACATGGTCTTGGTCATGGTCTCCGACATTTGAAAGCTCTGTCTCACAAGGAGGATTTTGTATTTTAAAGGATTGAGGCTGATTACACCCACCATCCAGTCAGCACGACCGAGCTGCATTATCACTGTGCTGCATGCCTTTGACCAGGAGTCATGTTTCAGCTCCCTGTGCTGCTGCTCCCAGGTATTTATAGAGTAGTACAATATATGTACAATGGATGGAGGCTTTTATTTGTATTCATTACTGTTTCTGTGTGTGTGTGTGTGTGTGGCCACCTGATCTGCGGATCTGTCGAACAGGCTTCTGTGGAAGAGAATCTGCTCTTGGTGGCCCTAACTCCTCCTCAAATGTCTCATAGCTTTCTTCCATCCCTTCCCTGAGAGAAAGAAAGTAACACGATAAACTAAAACTGAATTTGCTGAACATGATTCTGCAGACAAAGAAATGTACATACAACACAAAGCTTTGCATATGAACCATGCCGCCAGTGTAGCCAAACAACTGTTGGTATTTTAAGAAATGCTCTGCTTGCCAGCCTTGGCAGAAACAAAATGATTCAATGGATCACAAATATTGTAGTTCTTATCAGTATTATTGACCTTGTATTGAAAAATGTATTTATCTTGTATCTCACCAGTTTCATTTTGGGGAAACAAAAAGATACCAGTCAAAGGGCAAATTGTCCAGTTTGTAGAGACTGAAGCAGTTTCTTGACCTTCACATTTACAAATGAATGCAGTGAGGCCTTGATGTCTTATATGACATTTCTACACAGTCACATAGCTAATGTCCTAGCAGCCCTATAAATAGACAAAGCAATACCACTGGAGGGACAGATGGATACTCGCTGAATATCAATACATAAAAAGAAACGGGCTGTTACCATTGTGCCCCTAATTACACTCTAGGTTAGGCTATCTGCTGCTGAAGCCTCAACTTTAACCCTCGCTGAATGAAGGACCTACCTGCCTCAACATTTGGGGTCCTCTGGGTGGCTTCGGAGGAACCTTTGTCACTGAGCCTGTTGTTCCTCTGCGAAGATGACAGCAGTCACACTCTGAACCATCTGACAGCCGGGCACAGGTGCCGGGAAAGAAAAAACAAAAAGTGTCAGTCAGTCAGTCAGTCAGTCAGTCAGTCAGAGGCGTTCACTGAGGCAGGGCCAACATTAACATGCTCCATACAGCTGTCAAATCCAAAGAGTGACTAAGAGGTAGGAAATAAAGTGACAGAGTATGCCAAGTTTTGGAAAACACTTTTTCCATGTTGGAAAAATCTTTTTTAGTATTTGAGGAATAACAATTAACCAATCACATAGATCTTTAGCAAACTATGTAAAAAAACAAATGAATAAAATCATAAATAAATGGCATTTTTTGGGAAACAAAAACACTTTTTGTATTTTACCAGCAGAGGGCGCCACTGGGATTTTTCAGATTTCCTGCTCAATAAATGAAATCTGTCAGACAGACTAACTGTCACAGAGATTACCAGAAGGGCTGACACGTTTCCTTTTTTTATGAGCTGACTACAAGTTGCACTCTTTATATCAAAAATGTAACACACATGATCATATTTCAGTGCTTTTACTTTGCTATAATGTTGCCGCAATGCATCATTCTTCAACATTTCCCCCCCTATATGAGCCAAGTGAATATTCTCTGTGTTGTTAAGGTGTCAGGAAAAGTCACCTGTATACTGTGACTGATTACAATCAGCAGTGTGAACAGATGTAAAGATGTTCAAGTTTTATCAGGGTGAGCACCTTTATGAGGGAGGGGGAGGAAGTGTTGGTAAACAGATTTGTGTTGATGTTGATGACTCACACCTTTGTTGGGACTCTGCCCAGATGAGTCAAACATCTCTACACCTGTACCTACTATATCACTTCAAATTGTGTATGCTCTGCAGCCTTTGCCTGGGGAGACTGACTAATAAAAACAGAGATTTAAAATGCTAACCAGAAATGCAACATGTAATGAAATGGATAAAAACCTACACAAAACTCTGAGTCAGATAAACACATCTTCTTTAATTTGCTAAATGTTTACCAAAACATTTTACCATCTTCCACTCATCTAATTAATGTATGTGTGCTTTTAATTTGAAGTTACCACACATACTTTACAAAACATACATTACCATCATCTAAAACTTGTTGTGGGGCCCTGTGCTAAGTTGGCCACTCCAACACTTTGGTCTAGAATCAAATTTCTCAACAGCTACTGGATTGATGCAATGAAATGAGGTTCAGAACATGATGTACCCCGACTCTTTCCTTTAGTGTCACCTTTATGTCATGACAAGTTGTTGAGTACTTCGGTTTACAACCAAACACAACACAAGCTTTACTTTGTGTTAAGTGCTAATGAACAAACACAAAGCTAGCCAGCGCTTTAAACATTAACATTTTACCTGATAAACATTGTTATGTTAAATTAATAAAGACATTTATTAAAAGCATAATAACACCACTGCCTGAAACACTACAACCAACTTTTTTTGAAATACCTTTTCTCAATAATACTTTAAAGCCATTAATTGTTCTAGTTGATTCTCCAGGTTGAATTAAAAAAAAGCTCTTTTAGCATCATTTTTTTCAGGGCACAAAAATATTCACGATACTTCCCTGATACCTACAACTAGTTTGAAGTCAGTTTGCGTTTTACCTTTACACAGTGCTCCTCCAACATAAAGCCATATTCTTCTCAATGCAGTTATTTGCTACATTAAGCAAAGTTACAGCTGTTTGAACAACTGATTCCCAGATATGACTCATAGATGGTTCTATTTTAATCCAAAATTTAGTGCTTTGTAAATTTGACTTTGTCTCTCTTTGTATTTCCGTCTCTAACTCTGTGTTTTTGCTGCTGCCTGTCTTGGCCAGGTCTCCCTTGAAAAAGAGGTTTTTAATCTCAATGGGACCAACCTGGTTAAATAAAGGTTAAATGAAATAAAAATAAACAGTGGCAATGAAAGACTTCCTTAAAGAGGCAGAAACCTTGAACAGAATCAGAGCCGTCTGCCAAAACTGTGTTGGGTTTGGAAAGTGGGATATAAGGAGATGCAGAAAGAAAGAGAAGTACAGAGACAAACATAGCAACACCTGCAATGAATAATATAGATGTATAGCTAATATGTCAGTAATAATGGTGAGAGTATGTGTAGTATTAGCAGTAATAGCTAAGTATGATAATAGACTGATCAGTCTAATATAAAAGTTAGCAACTGTAATGATAATGCAACGGGGAGAACTGATTATGTTCATTATAGAGGTTGAAGTTGAGCACCTCTAAGATTCACTTTAATATGTATAATAATGATAATAGATGTACAAGGCTGCATGGTGGTGCATTGGTTAGCACTGTTGCAAAGACATGCTGGTTAGGTTAATTGGTGACTCTACATTGCCTGTAGGTGTGAATGTGAGCGTGGCTGGTTGTCTGTCTCTATGTGTCAGCTATTTGACCAGCAGCGTGTACCCCGTCTCTCGCCCAATGACAGCTGGTATTGACTCCAGTCCCCCGCTACCCCATACGGGAAAAGCGATATAGATAATGGTTAGATAATAGATGTAAGGCTGATTTCCAACTCATAACTGAAAGAACACAGTGTTTTGTGTTTGTTTTACATCTTGTTATTCTTTAGGCACCAATATGTATATGACAATCTGCATGATCTCATACTCCAGTATATCCAGCACACGGCTCATATCAGTGGCCTCATGTGTGTTTAGAATAATTCCTGCTTATAATGAGTTTATCTGTATTTACAAGATGCATACTCTCACCACTCTTATTCTCAATGTTTATTAATCCTGAGGACACATTGGCACCACGTGTTACAGTTCATCACCTGATAAAGTTACATTTGATTGCAGTAG